ATGTCATTGGCGTTGGAAAAGGTGAGGCGACGCTGGTCCTCCCTGGACTGCTGGGGTCCGAGGGATATGCCGAGCTGGCGCCCAAGCCTCTCGTGGTTGAGGCCGATGGAGGGGAGAGATTGGATGGTGACGTGAGCCAAGACCAACTCTCCTCCCACCGTGACGATGAAGTCTAGGCTCCCAAAGCGCACGTGTGCGCCTGGGACCCAGCTGATGTCGTGGTTAGCCATTCGTGGCCTGGTTTGGAACGCATAAAGTCCCCTACCTGGCGCGCCAACTGTCGGTGTTTCGAACAGACACGGCTAGTAAATTTATAATTGTTACGTGTTAGGCCTAGATGGTGCACTAAAGGATACAAGTTTTATACTGGTTTGGGCTGAATGTCCCTACGTCCAGTCTGCTGCTGCTCGTGTTATTAGTACCAAAAAGGGTTTGTAGTAGGGGGTACAAACGGTCGAGAGAGGGACAGGTCCCAAGTCTCTGAAGGAATGGTCGAGAGGACGCCAAGAGCTCGGTTGCTGCTTGGCTACGTGCGTGATGTGTTGTGTGTGTCGAACTAATCTCTCTTCATGGGGTGTCCTGCCCTCCCTTTTATAGACAAAGGGGAGCAGGGGGTTTACAGATGGGAGAAAGAGGAAAAAACCTAAGGTGGAGGTCGCCCTTAGAAGGTGCCGAGCTTTCCTTTTCCCTTGAGCCTGTACTGCTGTCATGGCAGACCATGCTAGGGATGGCACGTTCGCTGACCCTGATAGGGCCATGCCCTGGCCTTGCTTTAGCGAGTGGTTACGTCCCATCCTCCCCGGCAGACCGTGCGGGGTGTCAGGGCGCCGAACCATGACCCTACGGGGAGCGGACGGGGAGACGACTATATGCCTGTTACTGTAGATGATGTGAGTTTTCCCATGGATTGTAGCGGTTGTCGTATGCCTATGTTAGTATCCGCGCCCGAGGGCTGAAGGATGCACCTACAACACTGTGGGACAAAAGTCGGCGCCTACAATACTATTCAGGTACTGTTATGTCGAAAAGGGCTTAAAGCGCTGGTCCCATCGTATCCTGACGGTGCCTTCCAGTAGGCGTGCAGGGCATGGCCCTCGGTACTGCGGTTGACAAAAGTCATCGGGCGAGGTGGAGGCCGGCCCTCGGTCGTCGGGCGAGGCGAAGCCCGCCCTCAGACGTCGAGCGAGGCGGAGTCTAGCCCTTAGCCATCGGGTGAGGCGGAGCCCGCCCTCGGGCGTCGGGTGAGGCGGATCCCGCCCTTGGTCGTCGGGCGAGGCAGAGCCCACCCTTAGCCATTGGGCAAGGCGGAGCCTAGCCCTCGGGGGTCAGGCGAGGCGGAGTCTAGCCCTTAGCCATCGGGCGAGGCGGAGCCTAGCCCTCGGGGGTCGGGCGAGGCGGAGTCTAGCCCTTAGCCATCGGGTGAGGCGGAGTTTAGCCCTCGGTGGTCGGGTGAGGCAGAACCGATCTTCCGTCATTCGGGCAAGAAGCGCAGTAGCGTTCTTGTCTGATCGGAAGTGTCAATGTTCAATGGTTATTAGTTCCACCTCGTTGGGTACCCCGGTATTAGGTCCCTGACACGACTGGACGCGCTGACCGGACGCACCCCAGCGTACAGTCGATAGGGTCTAGTCCACTGATGGATGCCATGTGTCCCTCCTTTGAACCTTACCCGTTCATCTCCAACGATCACTAGTCGATCGCTCGTACGTTTAAGTTATGACCGGACTCAACAAAGAAACGACCGGATTCACAAGCACATGGCATCCAGTCGAGTCCAGTAAACATCCAAAGATGATTTTTGTCGACCGAACATGTCCTATCAAATGTGGCCGGATGCACCCTAGAGTACGGTCCCTTCTGCTCAGCACTGTGTGCGCCACTTCACCAAGACCGGACGTGGGAACATTGTTCCCCGCATGTCCGATCGTGCATCGCCACCAAGGTCCGATCGCCAAGCCGAGCTGCGCCACCTCTGCTCATCCTGATTGGACTCACCGCTGCATGTCTAGTCGCTCCACCATGCTGGGTCCGGTCATGCCATGAAGGCTGGCCGAGACCAAGGGTTTGGGACTGGACTCGGCCCCTCAGGGTCCGGTCACACGTATCAAGACCTAGAGTCCGGCCACCCAGATCATCTCTTTTTTTTTCTATCTTCTCAAACACTTCACCCTTGCATCCAAGTTGCTAACCACAAAGTGTATAACCTATGTGCACGTGTGTTAGCATTTTTCCAAGCATTTTAAGGGTTAATTTGTTAGCACACTAGGTCCTAATGCATATGCAACAATGACTTCACCTAGTGGCACTTGATAACTACTTAGCCAAAGATTTCCCCTCTTAATAGTACGACTATCGATCCTAAATACACTCACACCCTCTATGGTGTCTTGAGTGCTAAAACAAAAACCTATTTGATACATTTGCCTTGATCAACACTTGGTTTTTGTTTTTCTCTTTCTTCTTTTCCAAGTTGGAGCACTTGATCATCTCTTTTGGTCACCACCATGCATCACCATGACCATCATCTAGCTCCACCACTTGGTGTGTACAACCCTATCTTAATCACAACACTTAATCACAAGGGTTAGTACACTAGGTTTCATCAATTATCTAAAACCAAACTAGGGATTTCAGCCTCCTCATAAGTGCTGGTTCTAAAACCGACAGTGATTTGGTTTCCAGAAAATCCAAAAAAACGGGTTGAAAATAGAATTTTTGATAGTAGGAGAGACCCCGACTAGACAGCCACACGGTCACAAGTCGCGCATCACAAGTCACGCAATTTTCGCATGAAAAAACACATGCTTCGCGACTGCTGGCGCTCAAACTTCTGGCTTTGCGAGTTCGTACCCTAACAACTCCACCTGTAAGACGTCTGTGTCCATTTGCGATATTCGTCATCCCCATTTTATGTCAATCTGGTTTTGAAATGAGTATTTGGTACTCTAAGCAAATTCAAATGAAAAAGTTGTCAACTACAAAGTTTTATAACTTTTCGAAATCTACATCTTTGATTTTGGTCATTTCTCCATCCGAGATCATTTGAAGTATTTGAATCTCTGATGTGAGGAAATTCAACCCTAATTTTCGTTAGATAGATGATTTTAAATGAAAAAGTTGTCAATTACAAAGTTGCATAGCTTTTCAAGATCTACAACTTTTGTTTTGGGTATTTCTCCATCCGAGGTCATTTGAAAAGTTTGAATTTTAAATTTGAGAAATCAAACGTAGTTTTTGTTGGATAGATGATTTCAAATGAAAAAGTTGTCAACTACAAAGTTACATAACTTTTCGAGATTTATAACTTTTGTTTTCATCGCTTCTCCATCTAAAATCCTTAACTATCACTATACACTCACTTATAACTATAGAACATATGGATTCCTTGGGTATGAACTTCTAAAATCTTGCAAATCAAATAGAGAGACATCATAACAACTTCAAACAAAAAAGTTGTAAACTATAAAGTTGCATAACTTTTTGAGATCTACAACTTTTACTGTGGTCGCTTCTCCATCCAGGATCCTTAACTATCACTACACACTCACTTGTGACTATACAGCATATGAACATTGCTTCCATGAAATACTAGCATGAAGAAAACATGATGAGTAAATTAATTAAATAATATATTAATAAATTTGCACAAAGACAACACTATGATGATTCATTTGTCCATGAGTAGCCTATTATTTAATCTCCTATTTCTTGGAACGAAAGTACTTTCCATGGTTGTGCCATTGACCCTGGCACACCCCATACAAGCGCTTGGTATCTTCTGACCTTCTTGTTTTCATCTGCAGCTTTAAACACGACAAAGTAGTTGTTCCCATTACCCGCTGGTTGCATGCTCACTGATATCACATCGACGAGCGTAAACTCTTTATTGTAAACTAGTCTATGCATAAGCACTATAAATCTCCCAATTTGCCAGTACAAGGTATCATGGGGGTTACTAACTTGTTTCCATTCTTGAGGACCATTAGGAGGAATAGGTTGTGGAGGAGCCCGATATGACATAGGCGTAGGGGGTGTAGATGATGGCGGCGGTGGCGGTGATTGGCCATTCCCTTGTGGATTTGTAGGAGCAGGAGGAGGACTCATCGATGGTGGTGGGGTTTGGATGTTAGCTTGATATGGTGGAGGCACAGATGGTCGATTAGACAATGGTAGAGGGGGTGGTGGGTTATTAACATGATAGGTTGGAGGACTAGCAAGAGGAACATATGGTGCTAGAGGTGGAGAGCTATTAACCTGATTGGTTGGAGGTGTGGCTAAGGTACTAGAAGCCGGTGGAGGTGGTAGATTGTTTATTTGGTATGTTGGAGATATGGTAGGAGTAGAATAAGATGATAGAGGTGGTGGTATTCTAGCTTGATAGGTTGGAGGTGTGGATGAGGGACCAAAAGTTGAGGGAGATGGAGGATTGTTTACTTGAATAGTTGGAGGTGTGGCAGGAGGAGTATAAGTTGAGGGAGACAGTGGATTGTTCGATTGATACGACGGGGGCATGACTGTCGGACTAGAATTGGACAAAGGTGGTGGAGTATTAACTTGATAAGTTGGAGGTGTGTCATGAGTAATATCAGGTGGTGAAAGAGGAGGGTTGTTAGTTTGATAGGTTGGTGGTGTAGCTAAGGGACTAGAAGACAATGGAGGTGGTGTTTGATAGTTTTGTGGTGTATAATAAGGAGAATTAGAAAGTGTTGTGGGCGGTGAGATATCAACTTGATTAGGTGGAGGTGTGGGTAAGGGACTTGATGTTGGTGGTGGCGGTGATGGTTTTGCCGGATAGATAGATGGTGTGGCTGGGGCACTAGATGGTTGTGAAGGCAGTGGGTTGTTGGTTTGATAGTTTGGAGGTGTGGAAGGTGGAGTAGAAGGTGGTGGGCTATTAACTTGATATGCTGGAGAAATGGGAGGAGGGCTAGAGTATGACAAAGGTGGTAGGTTGTTTTCTTGATAAGGTGGAGGCATAACAAGGGGACTAGATGGTGGTGGAGGTAAAGGGTTGTTAGCTTGATAGGGTGGAGTCATGGCGACCAGAGGTGGTGGGTTATTTGCTTGATATGCTGGAGTCTTATTAGTTTGATTTGTCGGAGGTGCAGTAGGAGGGCTCGGTGGTGGTGTATTTGGCAGACCTGCTTGGAAATTTGGTGCAATGGCTGGTGAACTAGAAGCAGATGGAGGTGTCGGTGAGTTTTCTTGATACACTGGTGTTGTTGATGTTGGAGATGGTTGCCATGGTGAAGGTGTGGCAGGGGGACTAGAAGATGACATAGGTGGTGGACTATTGCTTTGGTATGTTGGGGGGCTGAAAGTTGATAGAGGTGGTGGGTTATTTTCTTGGTAGGTTGGTGCTGGTGGCGGGGTTCCATCTTGATAGGTCGGTGGGATCGAGGGTGTGCTAGAAGGTGTTGTTGGTGATGAACTATTACTTTGAGGCGGACTAAAAGTTGATGGAGGCAGTGAATTATCATCTTGATAGTTTGGAGGCATGGTTGGTGCACTATAAGATGATGATGAAGGTGGTGGACTCTCTACTTGATAGGATGGAGGTGTGGTAGTAGGAGGAGTTAATGGCGGTGGAGGTGCTTGGATATATATTGGAGCTATAGTTGGGGGAGTAGACAATGGTGATGGTGGTGGCTGTTGCTCATAGGCAGGTGCTGTGGGTGCAGGGCTTGCCGGTATTGATGGCGATGATTGACTGATTGGTTGATAGCTCTGAGCCATGGTTGGGGAGGGAGGTGGTGATGACTGGCTATTACCTTGGTCGGAGGGAGTCCCAGGCTGTGATGGTGATTCTTGTTCATTACCACATGCAGTATTCTTTGGTGGCCTGTGTCCATCACCATGGGGGTCCGGACCTCGCCCTGGTTTTGGGCAATGTGGGTTGTTCACTGGACCAACGCCACTGTTTGACTTCTGCCCGCCATCACCATTGGAGTGTGGGTCGTGCTGCCCCCAGCCTTGGGGCTTATTACCATCGGCTCGAGGTATGTGAGCAGTGAGGGCAAGGATGAGAAGTGGCAAGAGTACTACGGCTGGTCTCATGGCATGAGAATGCCAGCGTAGGCTGCAACAAGAGAGGTTGTTGCGCGCTCAATATGGCTTGTGTTGCATGGGCAGCTAGTGATGGTGGCCTCTGTTTATAATGGTGGCACTCGAGGTTGATCTCCACCGAGCACACATGTTAGTGGCCAGTGTTTCCCTCGATCTAAGCTGCACTGCTGCAGAAGCTTCAGGATCATCGGCCTAGTTTTCATTAATTAGTTAGTGTCAGCTGCTGAGCTTAAAGATGATGACAAGATGAAATTACTTAAATGATCAGAGGAGATTCTTGACCACTATATTTCTGTGCTATTTCCGTTGACATTAGGCAGCATGCACGGCTCTCCGCGAGCTCAGAATCTTACAGACCTGAATGATCGTGCCAGTTAATTGACAACTCCTGCACACAAGTTGACCTGGAAATTAAACCTCGGAAGATCTATACATGGATTCTAATTAAATGTAGCAGAAAATGACACGTATTCAGATGAGTTGGTGCTGCCCTAGATCTGGGTTGAGTTGAAATAGTAAACGAGTACATAGATGGTCCAAATTAAATTCTGAAGTACAGATATCTGAATACATATATATAGTTTCTGAACCTTGTGAGATCAAGCTGTGTCTATTTGCTGAATGGATCAGCACAGCGATCTAGGAACCACCCCCATATGCCATGTGATGTACTGGAGCTTCACGTCATTTTCCAGGTAAAATAAAATCTTACTGCAGATCTCAATTACCTGATGCCTTGGCGTTTGTCAACTATAAGTTACAGCTAGCTGCTAGCTAGCTTAACTTGAGAAGCCATGAGCTCATCACCTGGTTTTCATGAGTTTGTAGATAGAGAGAAACTTATCCTTTTCAATCTAAACTTTAATCTTGAAATCGTAGAAGTAATGCAAAGCTTCTTTGTTGTAGGTTTACAAAGAACCGACACACAATTTGTCACACCACAAGTAGATGGAGGCAAAATGCAAAGTAATGCAAATAAGTTGAAATACAAGAGAACTACAGTGCAGACATGATGATTTGGTTTATCAAAGTTCAATAGCATCCATGATGTGCCTATGACTCCATTGATGAGTCTTTGAGCAACCCAGGGTCATGCTCAAGCTGAGTCTCTTTTAACCACTTCCCTCAATACACTAGCTTGGTCTTTTTCCATATTTAGGCAAAATCGCAACCCTCAAAAATTTGCCTACAACCTTTCACGTGCTCGGGAGCTAGCCATTTAGCGAGCTTCATGTCCAAGAGTAACAATGCTTCATGAGTTTCTTGACCTGCTGTTGACACAAAATGTGACGCACTGTGCCACACACACAGCAAGCCGAAAAGCGTAGCTTCAATCGGATGCCCGGGTGCTTCGTGATCCGGAACGTGCCAGTCAGTTTGACCTGAAAGAAACTGACAAGGGATAAAACAGTTAAATGTCAAACCGGAACATGTCGGGTGAGACCAGACAGTTCCGTATATACGGCCACTGAAGCCACTTACAACGACATACAACTATAGGAAGTCGTCTGCGCCAACAAGTTTATAAATCATTCGACTAATCGTAAGATGGACATACGTAAAGATCTGATTGCGAATGCATATGCATGGGAAGACATGTTTGAACAAGTGAAATTGATTATGCGTTAATGCATATCCAAGCTCAAACAATCCAAATTGAGTTGGGGTCCATGAAGAAGGAACGTGTAGATAAACATGATTAAGCCAATCTAAAACTCAAGGCGCGCATACGACACCTAGTTTCGTCAAAAACTTAAACGTGATTAACATACATGAACCCACAACATGTGACAATCTAGATTAAAATAATTTGGCCATTACGAGCATGTTATCTATTTGCAAAGGTATTATGAAAGTAATGATCATTGAAGCTCGAATAAAACCATAGAAGAGGGCGAACAATATCAATCTAGATTGGGCAAAAGTGTGTTACAAATATATAAAATATTTAAAACATGCAACACAGGATAACTTGATGAATCTATTTAGATTTTGCCGTAATCTAATAGAGCCGATAACTGCCTTTGCTTCCACTAAGCATATTGAGCAAACGCACGCCGCACGGTATCTACTCATAAACAAAGTATAAGCGAAGACTTCTTGATTGTCAAGCAAAGATCCGCCGCATACGATCATTGAAAACAAACAAGACTACTTGCATCACGTTTAAATCCACCGCATGATACTAAACATGATAACAAGGTTGTCCGGAACTTACGGAGGTCGACGGATCGATGACTCCTCTCAAGAACTCGACGACCACGACAAAAAGGACTCGAAAGTTGGCACGGGGCGGTTGTATTGATTTGGTTGTGAACGCCTATTACAATGGTCGAGGGTCAATATTTATACCCTAGACGAAACACGAGTCCTAAAAGACTACGATTTACAAAGGAACTCTTTAAATAAACTTGGAAACTACGATTCCTTGCCCCAAACTCTCGAGTCCTTTATTATTACAACTTTCATCTTCTCGATCGGCTTTGCTTGCCATCTTCTCGCTTTCCCGAATGGAGTTACCGCCTTCGAATAACCGACCGCACAAGCATTTAGCCGACCGCTTGCGTTATTTGCCGAACACTCTTCTTCCCGCATGTGGGTCCACCACATCTTCCGAATTGACCAAAATCCAAAGTGTTAACACATGCCCCTCAATTTCGGGATAAAAGTTGTTTTATTCTGAAATTGACCACAAGCTCTTTCATCCTCCTAGGTCATCACCGTTCAAAACCGCAGCCGCTGCCCAAAATTTCAATCTTTCAAATAAACTTCAACCTCCTCTAAATCTTCAATGGCGACCCGTGATGAAATCCTCAGAGGTAAACTTTATTTATATTCGCAACCTTCATCCCATCCTTCCGCTTCTCTTTTGACTTATTCCCCTCGATTTCAATCATCTTCTAAAGGAGTACAAGAGCCGATTTTGATCCCTTACGCTGCCAACCCCGACTCCTATTTCCTTGGCCCAATGGGAAACCCCGACCTTCTTCCGAAATCATTGAGAAGGAAACTCAAAGAATTCCTTTCAAGTCCGAATTACCTCACCAAACCGATGGCCAAACACGTTCAAGAATTGGCCATTCCCCCAATCACCGGATGGCGAATCGCTGATGCAGAGAATGTTGGAGAAGAGCAAGCCCATCGGGACGGTCGGGACATCACCATTGTCTGGAGTTATCTTTAGCAGAGACACCCAGGAATGATTCCCTTCTGATAGCAGCTTCTCATTTTTGGTCTGACGCTACCAATGCCTTTATCTTCGGCCATGGTATTATGACCATCACTCTAGCCGACGTATACATGATGACTGGTTTGAATGTGTCATTGCCAGTATATCCTTATAAGTACAAGAGCAAGAGTAATCAAAGAGCCGTTAGTTCTGGATGTGGATGGGTCAAACATATTCAGAATTACATGAATGCATCTGGCGCCGTCTCTGACAAAGAGTTGAAAGCTTTCATGAATATGTGGCTATGCAGATTCATTTTTTGTGGAAAATCCAATGAACCAACCCTGAATCACATGGTAATGGCTGAAGACTTAGCTGCAGGCACCCAGATCCCATTAGGCAAATATCTTTTAGGGTCTGCTTATCATATGATGCATCAGATCACCCTTCAGATGTGCCAAGGTGGAGAAATTTCTTGTGTGAACGGCCCCTGGTGGCTAATTCAAATGTGGCTCCAACTATATATGCATCAGATAACCCCTGTGAGCCTCTTCAACCTAAGCTTCCCCTCAGTTAACTATGTTTGAAGGCAAAAGACAAAGAAAGGTTAAAGCTTGTCGACTTATGGGGAAGCAAAGAAGATCTATAAGCATTGATATAGACATTGGTCACCTCTTCAAGCTATTTTTCAAAGGATTCGCAATGTGCTCTGGGTTTCCTTACAGGGAAAATGAAGATCTGACTTTGCCCCCGCAAGTTTAGCTATGAAATTGGTTGTTCAGCCAAGAATCCACGAGAGATTTTCAACTCCTTTATCAAACCTTGCACTTTGCCACCGAATTTCATCATGGGAGATTAGTACAATCCACCTATGAGTTCTATTATCCCAACATGGTAGCCAGACAATTAGGATGCGCCAACCTTCCAAAATTCCTCTTCTCAACAATCATAAAATCAAGGGAAGCAATAACGTAGGAATGGAAGCCAAGAAGGTCTTTGAATTAGGATGGGAATTACCAATATATGAACCATCTCCATTTGGGCTAATAGATGCTGCTCATCCCTCTTTGTCTCTTGGTGGCAAGAATGGCATGCTCATATCTTCAATATAGCAGTTCATTCTTTATGCAAAAACTTGCAACCCGATTTTGCTTCCGATAAAGAGGTAATTTCATTATGCCCATCATTTCTTATTCTTGAATCCACTTCTTATTTTAACATCCGGTTATGCACAGGGATCTTGAGTTTACTTCCCCATTAAAGCAATTCAAGACTATCCGGCTGGTCCCAAACCCGCTCTGGGGTTTGATGCTCCAAATTTAAAGGAATTCATGAAAACTTCGCAACTTTGGATTCAAAGACTCTAAAGGCACTCATAAGAACTCCTGTTACTTCAAATTGCTTTGCATCTTCCAGAGGAAAAAGCAAAAGGAAAACACCGAAAGTTTTCTCTTACCCAAGAAACCAAGGACCAAGAAAGCCAGATTATCCCTTAAGGCATGAACCTTCTGCTTTTCTTATCAGTTAACCATTTCATTTGGCGATGGCGACTATCTCTACATTCATTCCTTCCACTTCGCAGCCACAAGTCGAAATTCCCATACCGGGTAATACCTCAAATACTCAGAGAACCAACCCCAAAGTCTCTCATCAAGATGAAGAAATTCATGATAGCGAAATTTCAGAGACCCATGAAGTTTGAAGGTTCAAAGGCTCATAAACCTGATGAGACTATAGGTAACATTGCTCAACCAATTCTCCTCTCCTTTCTCTTTAACAACATCTATCTCTTATGCTCATTATCACTTACTTTATTTGAAAA